ACTGCTTAAAAGAATTTAGATAGAGGACCTGCTCCAGGAAGGGAGCTATCATCATAGATAACTATAGTTTAATATGAACTAGGTGTGGTAGACAGGGAAGAATTTAGCAAAGCCCCTTTGAACAACTCTCTTGTGTCCCATGGTTTCAAGGTGGCCCAACAAACGTGTGTTTACTAAAGATTAACTCTTTTCATCTCCCCTGTGAATTGCTTTCCTGTTTTTGGAAAGTCCCAAACAACAACACATGCCCACCCGCCTCTTCTTCTTAGCTCAAGATGGCATATAAGCCCGAACAGCCAGGTTTTGCTGGGTCCCATATTCTTATGGAATGCCCATGTGCACATAAATAATAAATTTGGCTATTTTCTCCTGTTAATCTATCTCATGCCAATTTGATTATTAGACCAGCCAGAAGAACACAGAAAGGTGGAAAGAATACATTTTTTTGCTCTCCTTCAGAATTAACAGCATCTGATACCTTCCTGGAAACAGGCTGAGTTGCACTCATTAACTTTCACCCTCATTTTATACACAGTGAAAGTACACAGGGAAAAGTCAATGTTGCCCTATGCAAAGCCACCTGGTGACTCTAGCTACTGCCATGGATACACATTCCTGGATGAGTGTGAGTGCATGGATGTGGCAGGTGAGTGTGCTGTGTGAGTGTGTTTGTGAAAGTGTATGAATCTGTATGAAGTGTATTTGTATGATTGTGAGTGCTTGTATTTGTATTTTCGTGACTGTGTTTGTGCATCTGCCTGTGTGTTCATGTGTGTATGCATTTATGACTACTTGCCTGTGTACGAGTGTGTGTAGGACCGTGCATGTGTGCGTATACATGTGTTGTATATGGGTATGTATTTGTGTGTAGTTTGTATGAGTGTATTGAGTGCAAATGTGTGCATGTGTCGTGTGTTTGGATGAGTGTGAGATTTGTGTGTGTAAATGTGTGTGCATGGGTGAGCGTATATTAGTGCCTGTGTGTGCAGTTGCCTTGTGTGTATTTGTATGTGGGTTTGTGCTTTTGTGTGTAGGAATACATGTTGCGGGTATATTTGTGCATAAGTAATTTTCTGTGTGTATAAGTATTTTGTTGTGTGTGTCTTTGTGCAAATGTATTTGTATGAGTGTGTTGTTTGTGACTATTTTTGTGTATGTGTATTCTTGCTTGTATGAGTGTCTAATTGTGCAAATGCAAGCATTTGTGTGTTGTGATTGTGCGCGTTGTGTGAGTGTGCATTTGTGTGTATGTGAGTATATATAGTTGCATGTGCGCGCGAGCGCGCGTGGGGGCGGGTGTGTGCTGTCGCCGCGCGCCTCCACCCCCCTACAATCCGCCCCATCCGCACGGGAGCAGAAGCAGCGGCTGGAGCCGGGCTGGCGAGGGAGGGACGCGCGCCTGAGTGAGCGGGCTGCGCCGCCGGCACCGCCGCGGAGCCGACTTTGCCCTTTAAATCAGTCTCCAAGCCGATTACAGCTGATCTCCCACGTGACGTTTTACCTTCTGTCTCCTGGAGCGACTTGCCCGAGGACAGTCCTCAGGGTGCCGCGCATCGCGCCGCCCCAGCCCGCTTCGGGGGCTCCGGCACTCGCAACTTTGGGCGAAGCAGCGGGCAACCCTGGTGCCCTCACGGGGCCACTGTCCGCGCGGGCGTCGGTGGCTTCGCTTGGGCAGGAGCGCGGCGGTCGTGGAGGAGAAGGCGCCTTGGGCGCAGCCGGGCGCCCCTCGGACCCGCGCGGCGACGCGCCCGGGAGGCCGGCGGGGGTGCCCTGTGCGCAGCGTCAGGAAAAGGGGGCGCCATTCGCCAGCCGGGACCCGAGCGGGCGCACCCTGGCGGGGAGCCGGCCAGGAGATGGCCGCCAGGCAGGAGTGAGCCTCCCGCGCCCTCACCATGCAGAAAAGCGTGCGCTACAACGAGGGGCACGCCCTGTACCTGGCCTTCCTGGCCCGAAAAGAGGGCACCAAGCGCGGCTTCCTGAGCAAGAAAGCAGCCGAGGCGAGCCGCTGGCACGAGAAGTGGTTCGCCCTCTACCAGAATGTGCTCTTCTACTTCGAGGGCGAGCAAAGCGGCCGCCCGGCGGGCATGTACCTCCTGGAGGGCTGCAGCTGCGAGCGGGCGCCCGCGCCGCCTAGGGCTGGTGCCGGGCCCGGCGGCGCCCGAGACGCGCTGGACAAGCAGGTACCACGCGCCCCACCTCTCCCAGGCTCCCTGCTTTCGGTCGCGGCTCTCCCTAACTCTTCCAACCTCAGAGGTCTAGGGCTCCGCCGCGCGGGGTCCATACTCGAGATCCGAGATTCCTCTGCGGCGTCAGGGGCAGGATGTCTCCACACGCCTCCCCATCTCCAGCTCCCTTCTCCTCACTTCCGTGTAATCACTGGGAATAGGCACTCGGCGCTGTTTCTTTTTGCGACCCCGACAGCGGTCGGCTCTTTCCCGCTTCATTGACAAGCATCCGTTGCTTCTCTAGACCGTGTTCGGAAGGATTTAGTATGGTGACGGGTGTTGACACCTGTTGGATTTAGATCGGCAAGACCGAACTAACTTATTTCGGAAAGTTTGGTTTCTCGCCTATCCGGCTAGTGCGTGTAGGTTCTTTGCATGCAGATGTTTGTGCCAGACACAAGCAGGGCTCCCGGGACAGACAGGCACTTTCTGTGGGCCATTTTCAATCTGTGTTTGTAGTGTATGTCAATTTACCTCGCTAACAGTTGACCTGCTGCGTCTAATTACGAAGGTAAATGTGTATCCAGTTCCCTCAGGATTCATATTTGGTAGCCACATTCCTGCTATGTTTAAACATGTGGGCATTTAAAAAGACCACTTCTGTGCACTTTTAAATGTATGCTTTGAAAACGAATGTGACCTTTTTTATTCTGGGTCATAGTTTTATGAGTTTTGCTGTGTACGTACTCAGGGAGGAAAAATAACAAAAACCTTTCTAGATTTAGTAACTCTGGTGCCCAATTCCTGCACATGAGAAATTTGTATTTTTTTCAATCATCATTTGGTTATTAAAGTTAAAGCAGACTAATTTTATGCTCCCAAATGTTCTCACTTCGCTACTAGACCTCCATCTTGGGGGAAAAGAAAAAAAAAAAAGAGGCTGATGGTCTTCGCCGTTGCATATAAATAGTTCGCAGCTGTATTTTCCGTGCAAGTTAGACTCAACAGCTTCTACAGCAGACCAGCGAAGGTGGCAGCGGGAGGCGCTAGAGATGGAATGATGAATCAGATGCCTACCGAACCCCTGTGGGCTCATGAAACAATGTGTACAATTAAGAGGAGTTAAAACTACATTAACCCTGAAGTTTAATTTTTTTTTCATGTTGGTTTCACTGTAAATCATTAATAGACTAAACTAATTAAACTTGTTAGAAGCTTATCAATCTGAAATTTTAAAAATATGCCCTTTGGTTTTAAGGGCATGTTGAGGGTCAATTGATTTCCAGTTTTGTAGCTAAAGATACTGGAAATACAAGTTTAAATTTTGTCATGAATTTTAGAATTTATTGCAAGCGGAAGGGTTTTGAGGAAGCAGACTTTTTCTTTTTCCTATTGATGAGATTAAAAAAAAAAAGGTATGTGTTCCAAGGCCCCACAGAAGCCAAAACTAAAGAGCTTTTAGGTGTTATGTCTAATATGAAATAGGGTGCTTTAAATTACTCTGAATATATATCACTGACTTAATTCCAAATTATCTTTTCTCTTTTTATACTAATATCAGGAGATAACCACTTTGTTTTGTTTTGTATTGTTTGAGCTGGGGGTAAGGAGTTCTTACCTGTTGCAACTTATATGGCTGTCTGTCAGTTAACATTCTATGAAAACCAACATTTTCCTACTTGGGACATATCTGGACTCTCCTCTGCAGGACAGTTTTCTTTACATCACACTTGAATGAAGAATCGTAACCTCCAGATAACTTGACTTTCCTGCCACTTTCTACTGGCTATCTTAAACAGGGCATCCTATGAAAAAAAATTTCTGTCTATCATACAAGTGATGAATATTTCTCCATCATTTTATACATCTCAATCATTTTATACATCTCTAAAGAGGTTAGAAATTAGAATCTTTGGTCTTGATAGAAAAACTGAGATGTAGAGAACAAGCTTTGCAAATGGATTAGGAGTTGGACTGGGAAATCTGACAAATTTTTGTCTTCTGTTAGATATGCTTCTGTGACTTGGGTTAGTTTAGCAGATTCATGCTTTTCTCCAGCACTGACTGCCTCTCTGGGTGTGTTTGAAGAATTAAGGGAAAGCTGTGCAGTTAAGAGAGAAGAATAAACATTCTACTTTAGGTCTACAGTTTACGCAGTGGGTTCCCTTTCAGTTAATTTGTGTTGCTAATGTGCTCTCATCATCTCAAGCACATAGATTGCTGCACCTGTGAAACTAGCAAGGTGGAGAGGGTGGATGTGAGGCACTGAGCAGGGACTATCTCAAGTTTTGCTCCTCCAAGTATGCTTCCGGAGCTTTCCACATAAATATCCCATCAACCCCATTAACATGGAAAGTTAGGGTTTGAAACAGGACTTAGGAGGCAGAGTGGGTTTCCTTTACTAAGTTTCTGTGTGACTTCTTTAGGCAAATCTCTTAACGTGTCCTTTGTGTTTTTCTGTTAATGAAATCTGTTTCTTAAGATGTAAAAATTAAGAGTTTGGCTAAGATGATTTCCAAGTTGCCTTCCAATAACGACATCTCCTGTTTCTAAGGTTATAACAGACAGTGTGAGAGGATGTGAAAGATAATTTCACAAGATTTAAAGATTACCAGTCTCTATAATAAATACTGCATCTGGCAAGCTAAGGACAAGCAGGCGATTGAAGTGGACATTCGGATGAATCAGTTAGGTCAACAGATGTGCAAACCTATAGTCATCATTGCCTGAGACAGAGACATTCTTATTCACCTTGGAGAGCCATATATTGAAATGTCATTGACAGTTGCGATAGTTGATACAATTCTTGCTATAAAATTTCTCTAGTCATTCTTGCCAATTTAAATTCTACTCCTTCAAATCATTTTAAAATTGTAATTAATTGTGTTTTTAAGTAAGTTATAAAGAAATGCCCATTGATTAGCTTCATCTAAATAATTCAAAGTAAGTTGATCGACAAAAGAAAAGAATTAAGTTTTTTTTAATCACTTTGTCTTAAACTGTTAAGAAGAAAACCAAAAATTGTTTTTCACTTTCCAAATGTGCCTAGGTTGAAGGAATATTTGCATTGCTTCATTTTTAAAATAATGTCCCAAGATTTCACTTGGGTAGGTCCTTGGGAGATTGCAAGACTCTCTTATCAACCTTCCGTAGTGGCTACTTCTTAGAGATAGTTACGGTGATATAATCAAAATGAGTTCAGTTAAAAAATTTAAGCTGTGTTCCTTTTCTCAAAAATGTATGTTGTTGGTACTTCTTTCTAAGACAGCTCCATTTATGGAAAGTGAAAAACTTACCTTTCATTCCAGGTGAAGGTGTTTCAGAAAGAAGGGCATTTGCATTTGGTAAGTCCTTTTATGCCCCAGGCTTGGTGTTACCCTCCATTATCTCCTCTGATTTGAACCTCATTTCAGCTCTTGGAGATTGGTAGGTTTTTGTTTGTTTGTTTGTTTTGTTTCGTTTTTACCTCTGCTAACACTGAGGCTCAAAGGGTTCTTGGGAGATGATCAAAATCCTACTCCAAGTATGAAGACAGAATAATCTTGAAGACTGCCTTACCTAGGAGACTATTTAAATCCACTGAGCTTCAAGAAATTTCAGATCTGGGTGGAATGGGGGTTGGGGTTGTAGTATGTGAATCACTGTTTTGTTTATTCTTATTTTCCCTTTACAAACTACGTAAAGGGCATTTGTGATTGTTGAGAAATACAGTTGCAGACCATTACATTCTCAAAGAAAAATGGGATTTATGCTTAAACAAACAATGTTACATGGTATTCACTTACTTCAGTAGGGGACCTTTAAAATATTTGCCCTTAGAGTGACAGGACACATCTCAGTCAGCCTGGTCTGCTTAAGAATCTGGAGAGCCATCTTTATTCTTATTTTTCTGGTACTGTTAAGTGTTCTATTCCACCGGATTTCAACTGTTTTTATGAGAAAATAGTTCCTTAGTTCTAGATGTTTCAAGTGTTAGATACTTGCCATATTTGTGCTGAATAAAACATGTTGATTTAATTTTAAAGGGATTAAAGGTTATGTGAATTTTCCCTGTCACCTTATTACCAGCTAGTCATTTTAGCTTCCTTAACTTGACCACAAGCAGAGGATTTTAATCATTTTATTGAATTAGACAGAGCTTCACACAAGCCCTGAAATATTTGTGGAGGATAGGGAGTGTGGATGGTATATTTTCATTCTAGTTCATGTTGTTTAATTGATGTGTAATAACCAACTCAATATTTTCTCTTCAATCATTGCTTATGGAACACAAATAAAGGGAAAATGGAATAAAAATCTTATAAAATATAATTTAGTGAAGAAAAACTTAGACGTTGTAGTCATTCTTCGATTTAGACGTAAATGAAGAAAAATAGTTTATGGATTAGCAAAATTTAGTTATTTTTATTTTGACTACACTAAACCTTACTATTTATATTATTGTACTTACCATTAGGAATTCAACATAGAAAATCTATCTTTGATGTGACATATGCACATAAAAATATATTTTTATTGTGACAAGTATCTATCTGTGTGTTTTAATAAGTGAGAGCTAAATGGTGGAAATATTTGTGGTGTGATAACATTATTTTTTCCTTCCTTGAAGAATTAAAAAAATCAAGATATATTTCTTTTCTTGGGCAATGATAAGTCCTAAAGCAAATGTGATAACCAAATATTTCTAGTTTTAGCGAGCAAATGTTAATTATTTGTTAAAACAATTTTTCATATTGCAGTTTGTGTAATGCAAATTATATTTAAAGGGTGATTTTGTATATATTTTCCAATAAATATCTATTCTACAGTCAACATACATAATTTTAATTTTGTTGAATACAAAAACTTAGTCTTAAAATTATTTTGTAATGAAATAAACCAGATTGATAAACAATATGGATTTCCTCAGGTCTTAAATTCTAATTTTAGAATTTTAAAATACTTTGTGTTTTTATGCCTGTTCATTTGGCCTATAAGGAAGAAATATGTGTATATCTGGATATGTGTTTGTTGAG